GAAAGGGAAATTCTCCTCCCCTTTCCTCTTATTCTTGTCCAAAACGCAGAAATGCACACATAGTAATATAATCAAACGAGGGAGCTGGGCTCATAGGACTGATTTGGCCTAGAAGAAAAGTGCATAATTAGAGCACCAAGTAACAATACTATCAGTGGTGACATGAGGCTTGGAGCACCAAAGGGACATTCAACATGACAACATAAAGGCTCTGAATTTCTGCTGATGACAAAACCGTGTGCACACAGAGAGGGTGGAAGAGCCAATCTTTCTCATAACGTGCTTGAATGTCCTACCTTTTCCTTCCCCCGAGAGGAGCAAGGGTTGCTCTGCCAGTCAGCCCGCTGCTAGGGACAGAGATAACAAGCCATTGTCAGGGGCAACCACAAAGCTGCTTGTTTCACATTAGCATCCTTAACGTTTTCTATCTAATCAGATTTCTTGTTGGTTGAGGAAAGCTGCCTTTCCTCATTACCAGCTGCTATCCCAGGTTCCCCTCTCCCCATCCCCAATACAGATTTTGCCATGTTTGTCCGCTTTTCTGTGTAAAAAGGTTATGTATGCCTGGAGGGAGACTAAATGTTACCAAAAAAAAAAAAAGGCAAAAAGCCCCACAGGAAAACAGAACTGTGGGCAAGAGGCCAAGACTCTTGATTATGTGACTGTGACTAACCAATGGGTGTTTGGAAAAAAAAAAAAACAACCCACACATTTCTCTCATTATATTCTCTTCTCTGGATGTAATAATACAACACAAATAAGTTTTCCAGGAGCAGGCTTCTTTTTATGTAACCATGTTTTATACAGATAGCAGCAGCTTATGTTTAAACTATTTAAGAGAACAAATAGCTGCAAGATGTACTTCACATGGCCTTTCTCCTGCTAGCAGTATATTCCTTGCTGGAGGGAAGCAACAAAACTGCCCTGCATTTTGCTACTGCTTGGATGTAACTGTAAACAATGCATAATGCCCACAGGACCTAGCATCCAGGTAAGAATGTCAGGTCCTCTTGTTTTATTGCGTTTGAGAGAGCCATGACATTGTAAACTGTGGAATGACTTTGAAAATACAAAGCTAAAATGATGCAGAATAAAGCAGCAGTTCATCTTTTAACTTAGCCCAAAGTTTCCCAGATCATTAGGAAAGGCAGCTTCCTACCTGAACTGCAAATCTGACTGACAGACATCACCCCACTAGCACTGGGCCTAAAGGGAAATTCTCACGTTTTGGGAAGATGATAGTAATATTGTGATTTCCCATTACCCCTCTCCTTCCTGCCACACCTATTTAAAAAAACAGTCTGCCACAGTTACTGGACCAAAGGCCTTTTATATCCTCCAGCTCAAACTCAAATATACCAGCTAAGGTGAATTCGAGGCACATGTGTGCTGTGAAAAAGGATGACATTGCAAGCAGGCAGGTTGGCTGTCAAGAAAAGAATAAGAAACCAAGACAGGTTAATTTAGGAAACAAAGGACCAATTGTCTCATTGGTTCTCTTACTTTTGGAAATGGGTCTGAGACAAGAGGAATGAGTCTGATGGGCTAATGTGTCATACGGGCCACCTGTTTCAGGTATTACAGTGAGGTGGTATTTCAGTATTTCAGCAATTAGTGGAATATTCTCCAAACACACAGAAAAAGTCAGGACAGTCTCTCTCAATTCTTAAAAAGAGCTTTCAGAGCAGAAGGGAGGTGAAACAACAGAGGCAGCTACACAGGTAATGCTGCAGATATGTGAACGGTATATACAGCAGCCAGCTAGGACTACTGGCCTCATTAGAGAAGAGGATATCTAAAAGGCCACGTATGCTTTATGGGACACTGATTTTTCAGTAAGCAAAACAGTACTTCCTAGTTCTTCTGCCCAACGGGATTCAAGACCATTGCTAAAATTATCTGCATGCACAACGCTGCTGATTTAACGTCCTCTGAAGAAGCAGACTTATTCAAGAGCATCACAAGAGGCAGAATGGCACCAAAAGTGTTGGGACTTAGCTACCGCTGCCTCATACCCGGTGTCGTGATACAGGCCCAGGGGAGCCAAACCTAGAAGTGACAAACAAGACAGCCCAAGCATTAACCCTGTATGAAAGCATGGTCAAAAAATGCACAGCAGAAATTCATCAACTAAAATCAAATATTTAGACAATGAGAGGCAAAATTAGAGACATTCATGATTTACTAGGTATTCCCACGTCAATATTCATCAGGTGAAAAAAGTGCATCTTTATACTCTCCCTAGAGTCTTTCAAGTCTACAAAGCATTTCATATATAACCTCTATTATGACATTTTACTTGGAGAGACTTCCTAATAGCTACTCAGCTGCCATATTTTCCAGTCCTTTCAAAAATGTGCAAGTTGCATTACGGTAACAGGTTTAAACTTTCATTTTCATTCAACCTCACAGCACAGCTGAGCGTTAACTGCTGGGTTCACACTCAAAGGTATTCAGCTAGGGTTTATTTCAGTTGTTCCAACTGACTCCAATGGACTGTTTTTGTGTTTGCACTGAAAGCACAGTTCAGATCACTTCATGCTCAAAATTTTTCAGCTTCGTGCCAACAAACCACTGAGGTTTACAGGCATCAGCCTTTCAGGGGGTCTAACACCACTGCCAGCCAACTCACGCTCTGCAAAGAAAGAGACCAGTGGGGCCCTAGGCAGTTTGAGCAGCAAGAGAGGCTAAAAGGACACCTGAACAAACATCTTCCCTCTCATGCTAGATGCAGTTTCTTTCACAGAAACACACGTAGAAACCATGCAACAATAAACATTCCACCAAGATGATACCCCTATGAATTCTCATCAACTCAGATGGTTGTGGGATAAGTCAATATGGCCATGCCTTCTTGTGCCTTGTCTAGTAATGCAAAAATTCCTGGAGGAGAGGAGGAGGGATGGGGGTAGGGAGAAGAAGAACATTCATCTTTGTATACTGCAATAGGAAATGAAGCTTTCCTCTTAGAACTAAACATTTTCAGTAAGAATGATTAACACCACCATATGCCATGGAGGAAGGAGTAACACAGCTGTTACTGGGGAGAGACAGCATGCAGATTTATGGAGAATCTAAGAAGAGTAACTGTGAGCTTTCAGGTGATAAATCGGCAGAACTGATGCTCTCCAGGTCTTTGCTTAGAGTCTGCACCTTGGAAGCTTCTCCTGGTAGATTCTCAGTTCCTCATTGCTGAACCAAACAATGCACCTAGAAAACTCATCCCTTAGAGATAAAAGGCCCAGCACAACCCCACTTGCCATGCCTTTCTCTCTTCAACATTTTACACGCTGATGGCATGTTCATTTATTCACTGGAAATGACCATAGCTATGAGCTAGTCACCACCAGGGATCCAGCTCCCTATATAAATTACATTGAAATGACCATCAACTTCTACTGGAGTTTCATGTGAGCACAAAGAAATTGTGAAATACACAGTGTGGCTCAATAGGGCCCAAATCTGCTCAATGCAGACTACTGTAATACTCTGTGGCTCACGTGAAACCTTCATTTCACAAAATACCATTCGACAAGGAGGCTGAGCACCTCTAAAAGCTTAGCTGTCAACATCTTTCTAGAGGAGCTTGACACGAACAGTTCTGGGCTCATAACTTACTAACAACACAAACCCTGATAGATGATGAGAAATTCATTATATTTGTTAATCCAAAAGAGTGCCATGTGATTTAGCTTTCCTTCACATTTTGAGTTCCAGAATCAAAACTCCTATCAAGTCAGCCATGGAAATGAGAGCAGAATTAGACTTTGTTTCCAAAACGCACTTTTAAAATTCATGTACATCATTCACTAAAAAAAAAAAAAACAAACCTGAAAAAAACCTTCCCCCACCCCAGTGTTTATATCAGACTACATACGCCTGAGCAAGATTAGAAAGGAATGCCATTTTAGTAAAATATTTCTTTTAATAAAGGACATAGATCTCCCAGCAGCAGTATAAGGAACATTCATGCAAAATTTGGAGTATGCAATAGAAGAAATTGAGCAAAATATTTTAGACTAATGACAGCTTAGCAACTGATGCCCATCATTACATAGAGAATAATACAAGTGCTTTGTGAGGAAGGGCTCCAACCTGATCACTTTGCCATTCCTGCAAATTCAATTGTGGCAGAATCCCAGCCCTGAATATTTCATCTTAAAATACGTCTACCAGCAGTAACATTATTTGTCTTGGCAGATACTCAAGCTTATGCAAAAAGTGGAAGGCTTACCATGTAGAAAGGCAGTAACACAAAACACATATGGAATAACAAGAGAAAATATTTAAAAGAAGGACTAAAAATGGTTTAATCTCATGTATACTAGACCAATGAGTTAAAGGTACAGATAACTCAATTTCATGTTAATAAATACAGCATTAGAACAGACCATACCTTTGCTTTATCTGAAAAGGAAAACATTTCTACTTATTTCTTCTGCTCTGCATGCATTTCATTTTCCAAAAATGCAACCGTGCGTGCATTACGTACAAACTTTACCCTACTTCGCTAAGATACAGCTGCCACGAGCATTCGCTAGCGCTATGCAGAAGCCTTATGGAGTGAAAGGTGCTGGGAATAAGCCGAATCTGAGTCTAAGTGCCATTACTTTCAGCAAAGTGCAGCTTCGGAAACGTTACCAGAAAGAACCGACTTGGAATTGATGCTGTTTAAAGTAGCAAGCAATTTTTGGCAGCCCAAAAAAATGGCAGTGTGTAATGATGAGAGCTGAAACAAACAAACTTTATTTAAGAAAAAGCAGCGTCATTGTACTTCTCGTGTAGAACAATATTGTACATGGCTTATGCTATAGTGTCCCTCGAGAGCTGAATTAGACACTAACAGGCAAGCAAAAGGGGACATGGAGTGCATCACGCTCCCTGCATCAGTTGCACTACACTGACACAGGCTGGAAAACACACAGCACACTCTAGGGACATACATGGAAAAATAAAAAATAATAGAAACAAACAGAACATGGATCCATAGTGCCACAAACCTTCCGGCTCTGTGTTCTCTTTGAGGTGCACTTGCTTCAGTGGGCAGCAGAAGATTTCGTGACACTTAGCACGAAAAGGGGACTCTTTTTTCTTTAATTCCGCAGATTGGATCGAATCTTGCCGTAACATAATGTACTCCTGTGTGCCAGGGGGAGCGTCATCCATAACTGTGGTCACCACATAACAAAATGAACTCAAGTTAGAGCTTGAGGAAAACAATCTAGAGAATTACATCAGCTACATAATGTTGGGGGGGGGGAAGGGGGAGAGAGAGGAAAGGGAGAAACATTTTAGAAAGGAAAATAAGATTAAACATGTTAAGAGTATCTTAGTCATGGTGGCAGAGAGATGGGGAAAATATTTACTTTTATAAACAATGCTTCTCATAAACATTAACAATTTATATTGTTTCATGCAGCTTTCATAAATAGAAGACCACCGTGCTCCAGAAGGCAGCAATCAGGTTCTCTCGTACGTCTTTGCTTTACTCTCTAGTAACACCTAGATCTATTCTGCATGCAGATTCAGTAAAACGAGCAAAGAAAGCATGCTGTTACTGTCCAGCCATAGGCAATCTCTAATGTCGAGGAGTAATCATTCCATATCTGCAGGTAATGCAACATCCGTGTGTCTATTCCCCAAAGTGAAAAAAGCATGCCTTTGTCAGGATATTTAATTATATACTGTTCCTCCGAGTCAGGATGATAATCCAATGACATTTGACTTGATCATCATTTTCAATGGGTAGAAGAGTAGATGCACAAAGGGAACGCACATTAATCCTTTTGATGGTTTTCTTGTAAAACAGCAAGTCATTTTTTAAAGTTGATCTTATAAATCAATACCACCATTAATAATATCAATGATATGCAGTCTGAAATGTTTCTGAATAGGGTCAGACTATTAAATGGTAAAAAGATAAAATATATAGCATACAGAAAGCTCCAGCTACCTTATAAGTGTTACAGTAGCAGAAAGAATTGAAACACTTTTCCACTACCTAAAAAATGAAGCGTTAATAACGGAGATAGTGAGATTCTTCAACTTGTAGCTTTTAGGCACAGATCATCTTTCAAAAACAAAATTATATGATTTTCAGAACACCGTCTATAACCACTACTAGTAACTCATAACTTGGATGCATTGATATAAAACCACAGACAAAACAAGACTGAGATTCTACAACCCTGTAGCAAAAAATAAACTTCAGAATTTTAGGAAACTAAAACCCCAAAGATCAGGAAAGAAACCGCTGACATGCTAGTCTAAAAAACCACAGCCGCACCAGCAGTATACAAGCTCATATGAGTCTAGAAGTCTTGGCAGATAATTCAAACAATTGAATTGTTTCTCAAATATCTGCCAATACCTAATCATTTTTAAGAACTATCATACAGATTTAAACATGAATCCCTTCAGCCAAAAGGGATACTCTTTCATCTCCATCCATTTGCTTTTTTTTCCCTCTCCAGTCAAGAATGGTAAAAGTCACATCTAGGAGATAATTAACTGGTTCAACCTGATACTTGTGTCTTCCACAGTGGGCAATCACCTGCTTTGAAGTCATTCATCTGTAGGACACATTTTGCACCTTAGCTGTTGTTGCTTCATTATGCTAGACACAGCATCAGTAACGCACACTAATAATCCAGATAAA